AATCACGGTTCTTAAGCTACACCGGAAATGAACAGCTCCTGCTCGACTGCTGTACAGATTGACTGACTGATTGACATAGACAAGACACAATCGCAGCGAATTCTCTCAAAAGATACACTTTTGGTCCCTTTTAAGAATCCGTACTCCTGCGGTACCGTACATTCATAAAAGTTCCAGCCGAATTTGGTTGGCAGAGATTTCTGAGAGGGTGAGAACGTGAAAACGTAAATCCAAACAACAAATGGATTTTCCAGGTTGCGGTTTTCCGTTTAGCCCTTAACTCATCATAATAACCATTTGTCCGGACTTCCGCTCCAGGCCTTCGTAGCCGTGATCCAAAGTCCGCTGCGCATTAATCAAATATTTAGATATGCATGAAATATGATCCGCAACAAGTCCTTCGTACTTTTTTTAGGGGTCAAGTGAGATTTGTTATTAAAATTAAGCAGCATCCTTAGATTGTAAACCGAAACGATTTTTCTCTGCTATCATCAAAAAAAAAAATTGTGCCACGCTCTACCGGTGATGATAATTTCATGATAATTTTTTACATTGAGTTTTTTTATTTTTTTTTTTTATTATTGCATAATTATTTAGTAGTTCCCATTAACATTAAACTGTTCATGCAAATACAGAGACATTTTTAATTTGTCGCATTTCTTTCTTAAACGCTGCCATTAATTTTCGTTCCCATGCCTAAACAACAAAAATATTTAATTCATCAATGAATTATTTTATAAATGGTGCAACAATATTGACAATCAAATAAAAAAAAGTATTAATTATAAACTTTTGGTTTTGCTTGCATAATTCTCATATATGTAGAATATAAATTATTTAATGGACACGTTGGAGACAAAGTGAGGATTATCATGGCATTGGTCTTTGTATCGATATAACAAACTAAAACAAATATTACAATGCATGTATTAGATTAAAGCTTTTCCAACATAGTCTTTCGCAGACATCCACACTCCCTTTCCCTCTCTCATACACACAACTCCAACGTGTCAGCCAACAATTTCAATATTCCTTCCAATTTTCATGCTTTTACCGGTGCTTTGTAACAAACAACATTTAATCTTTCGCGTTTCCTTTATTTTTTGAGTTTTTTTCTGTTTGATTAGCAATAGGTCGGTAGTAATAGATTTCATATTCCGTTTTGTTCGCCCGATGGGCATAGGGGCTAGGGTGGCTAATTTTGTATCACCTAGTTCTTTACATACATACATTATAAAACAAAAATGTATCAAATTTAATGCACCTCGTTACCTGACAAGTGTAAAAAATAAAAGTAATTTCTCTTAATCTTTTCTGTGCAAGCTGACAAAAGGATCTGCAGGGTCTTTTCAATCAACTCACTATATAATTTGCTTTAATATATATATTTGCTATATTAAAAAGGTACTATCAAAACATTACAAATTATTTTTAATTATAGCTTAGAATTGTTTTTTAAGTGGTTAAAAAATGGGTCCCCACATTAAAACAAGAAAAACCAGTTCACCAAGAAAGGAAGCAAACTTCGGCAAGCCGAAGTTCATATACCCTTGCAGCTATTGCAAAAACTAAATATTCTTGAAAACATTGAAATTATGATTTACTTGTGTATATGTTTAAAAACATTGTAACTATGATGATTTGCAGCTCAATTATTCGATAAATTAAAAGAGTAATTAACTGTCAATTTATTAATAAGTCAAAAAGAATTTAAAACAAGAAAACAAGCAAACTTCGGCAAGCCGAAGTTCATATACCCTTGCAGCTATTGCAAGAATTAAACATTTTTGAAAACATTAAAATTATGATTTACTTTCGTATATGTTTAAAAACATTGAAGCTATGATGATTTGCAGCTCAATTATTTGATAGTTATTTTATATATTTTTATTATTTCTAAGGGAGCTATATGATATAGACGTCCGATTTTGATAAAATTTAAACCATAATTCTGAAATATTTAACCATTGCTATATGTCGAAGAACTAAACAAAAAATTAAAAAACAGAAAAGTTATAATTTTTTTCATTTATTTTTCCGATTGTTCCTATGAGAGCTAAATGATATAGTCGTCCGACTTTGATGAAATTTAAACCGTAAATCGTAAATATTTAACCATTACTAAATTTCGAAGAACAAAACAAAAAAATAAAAAACAGAAAAGTTATAATTTTTTTTCATTTATTTTTCCGATTGTTCCTATGGGAGCTATATGCTATAGTCGTCCGATTTTGATAAAATTTAAACCGTAAATCGGAAATATTTAACCATTACTAAATGTCGAAGAACTAAACAAAAAATTGAAAAACAGCAAAGTTATAATTTTTTTCATTTATTTTTCCGATTGTTCCTATGGGAGCTATATGCTATAGTCGTCCGATTTTGATGAAATTTAAACCGTAAATCGGAAATATTTAACCATTACTAAATGTCGAAGAACTAAACAAAAAATTAAAAAACAGCAAAGTTATAATTTTTTTCATTTATTTTTCCGATTGTTCCTATGGGAGCTATATGCTATAGTCGTCCGATCCGGCTCGTTCCGACTTATATACTACCTGCAATAGAAAGACAACTTTTGGGAAAGTTTCATGCAGATAGCTTTAAAACTGAGAGACTAGTTTGCATATAAACGGACGGACAGACGGACGGACAGACGGACGGACAGACGGACGGACAGACGGACGGACAGACGGACAGACGGACATGGCTAGATCGACTCGCCTAGTGATGCTGATCAAGAATATATATACTTTATGGGGTCGGAGATGTCTCCTTCACTGCGTTGCAAACTTCTGACTGAAATTATAATACCCTCTGCAAGGGTATAAAAATTACAAAATAGCAAAGCATTGTATGTATTGTTCCCATGGCAGCTTAAAGTTATAGTGTTCCGATTTTGATTAAATTTAAACCGTAGATCTAAAATATTTTACCATTACTATATGTCGAAGAACTAAAAAAAATTAGAAACAGCAGACTTATAATTTTTATTCATTTATTTTTCCGATTGGTCCTATACTACTTATGTACTATGTATCTGCAATAGGACAACTTTTGGGAAAGTTTCATGCAGATATCTTTAAAATCGAGAGACTAGTTTGCGTAGAAACGGACGGACGAACAGAAGAACACACGGACAGACGGACATGACTAGATTGACTGTGCTAGTGAGCTGATCAAGAACATATATACTTTATAGGGTCGGAAACGTCTCCTTCACTGCGTTGCAAACTTCTGACTGAAATTATAATACCTCCGCAAGGGTATAAATATAGGAAAAACAAGATTGTACACAAAAAACGGTATAGTGTACAGCACACTTTTAGGCATGTATAAACAAAATCAAACTTTATTTTGTTTTTGAAAACTTGATGACAACGGCATATTTTAGTTCAGAATCTTTTCAATTTATGTTTAATTTAAATTATTACTTAAAGTTCAAGCATGTAGGATATGCAAAAAATAAGTCCAACTTATCTAGTCAAGATTTTAGGTTAGGTTCTGCAGAAAAACAAGAAGGTCAGCTAACTCCGAATAAAATTATTGTATATTATTAAATAGTTGATGGTGCAATTATGTGTTCAGTTGGATCAACTGCAAAACAAATCGTGGCTTTCTACGGAAATTGTTAAAATAAAATATTGCTGATCTTTTAATGCTTTACACTCGTCTTCAGTATAAATCTTGTTAAATAATTTTCATATACATACAATATTATCTAAGTACTGAAATAATGTTCACATTTAAATATACATTTATAAATATTAATTGCTCTAACATATCTTCATTCTTTTTATCATATTGTATCCATTTAACCAGTTAGTAATTCACGTTTATATAATTTAACACATTTATTTCATGTTCTGGCTTCTCTCACTTGATAAAAACATTTTAACAAACCTATACGATCGGTGTTAGGGTATATATATATATACGCTTTATAAAAATTCATTTAAAATATGTAAATTTCTGACAACATTTTTTAATGTTTTCGTGCTTATGTTGCTGTTGCAGGGAGCGGTTTGGAACACTAAAATGCAATTTAAGCTAAATTTTGGGTTTTAAAGCCTTAGAAAACAATTTTTTTCTTTTTAATTATAAAAGGAACTAAACTTCAGCAGCTTTAGCTGTTGGTTTTGTTTATCATCCGAAATGTTGTGAACATATATATATTTTTATTGACCAAATTCCAAATTTGTATCTCTAAAATAATTATACGCACTTTCGTAACCGTGTTTAATTTTTCGTTGACGAATTTCGATTCGGACGTTGCCAATTATAGTAAGATCAATGATCAGATTTTGTGACGTTACACTGATGTGTCAAAAATATTTCTTCAAAATTCGACGTTCACTATCGAAAAATCCTTCAACTTAATAAGCAATTTCAGTTCAGCGCAATACAAAATCGAATTTTCGATTATATCTTTTCATATCTTAAGTAGTTTGGAAATGAGGCTGGTTTGAACATCCTTCCTTCTATCTGAATCAACATTTCGATTGCAAATCAGCCATTACTGAGGCCATAAACTCATCCTTTCATAAATTAACATATTTTTATTATTGATTAGTTGCGTTTTAATTATAATATTGGCCATTTAAACTAGTAGTTTTTGAATATTTTAATTTTTCAAAACAAAAAGAATAAAAAAAGGTGTCTGTGACACCAATATTTCACTTTCAATTATAATTCCGAGTTTTACTTACAAAAATAGATGCAATTTTTTGTCTTAAATAACACAAGACTGCTTGCAGTTTATAATAAATTGGTTTGCTTTTTTCTTACTCTTTTTTATTACATAAAATATCCTATACCCTTTGGCGTAAATGTTGTTAATAGTTGTGTGTGTATGTTTGTTATTCCGATGCAATCAACTAAAACTTTATTAAAAAATAAAAAACCACAATACTTTCGTTGGTTGCATATCAAAGCTCATAAATATTAAACGGAAACAACTTTCATAATTTCATAATGACGGAAAGGCCAAAGTCAGAGTCTCGTTATATGACATTAAATTGAGCATTTAATAATATAAGATGAAATAAAAAAGGGTACATTTTGGATAAAAATGAATATAATTTGTGTGCATTCTTTCAACTGTTGCAGGTAGGGCCGAAAACATGGCATTAGTGTTTGCAAGTGCATGTGTGTTTTGTGTAGATTCGCTTTGTTGATTTGTTAAACAATTTCACATTTTAAAATTCGTACACTTTCAGCTTAAACCCTATAGATACTAGAACGTATGGCCTACACATATCAAATGGCTTACAACAAACTATTTACCATGGCTATTGGTACAAAACTTTACATTTAGCGGCTGCGCAAATTTTTGTTTTACCTTTTCATATTATACAAATGTAATGTGAATATTTTTGCAGATGGACAATCAAAAGTGGAATCCGAAAACATTATGGGTCCTCTTTCATTTAGGCCTCTGTTTCGGCGCCTTTTAAACGCAGGCGAGCAAAGTCCTCGAATATAATGTCATCATCCTGTGCCTCGTCGTCGTCGAGCTGGATGAGATTGGTAGTGGTGGGCACATCCTGACTCCCTGCCGCCGATTCTGCCTCTCCACAGTCACCCAAGCTCACCAGCGGTTGACCACCGCCGGCCAAACTTGCCCGCGGCGATCGCTCCCCCAATAGTGGAGGCTCCTCTTCCTCAGGCTTAGGGTGCATTAGCGTGAACGGCAGCTCAGCCACGAGATCACCATTTAGCAGCGGCGAACTAATCAGCAATTTTACCTTTACCTTGTAATGCACCATGATACCGAGACTTTCTCGCTGGGCAGGATTAGTAATGAGCGTACTGGACGCTAAATTGGTATCCTCATGCTTAAGCTGCCCATCCAAGGCCAGACCCCATTTATCCTTATTATTCGCCAAAAGGGGACATAACTCAAAAACTTTCGACAGGGTGAATCCCGGCGCCACTTGGCACCCATCCTCCGACTCGATCTCGGCCACCACAGACTTGTATTGGGCCGTCGAAAACAGGCAAATATCCGCAAACTGCCGGACACATACCTTGATCTTCTTAACCGTCCGATTTGAGTTGTTGGCCACATGGACATTGACTGATATTTTTTCTCCGTGATGGTACAGCTCCTTGTCCAAACTCGCTTCCAAGTGGATCTTGTTCGGCTTCATCATAAACTCCTTGCTAACTTCGATCGATGGCTGCTCTCCGGCTTTAGAGGGGGCGTACATGACCTTGCGAATAGTCAGACGGACGGAGTTCCGCTTGTGGGGCTTGTCCTCCACGTTCTCACCTATCAGAGATAAACAATATGTGTTATAACTTTGCTATACGGGTTTTTCAGTTATCCCAGAAAGTATGCATATTTCGACCGGGGATGTGTCACTTGTTCGTTTGTTAGAAAAGTGCGTCATAGACTTTAGGCGGACACGGATTGGTCCAAGAGTAAGTCACGGACCAGTTTAAGTTCCAGGAACCCCCAAAAACGGCCCCAGCAACCACAATGTCTGACGTCAAAATAATAAATACTTGATGCCTAGAGCTTCGGCTGATGCCAATTAAACGAAATGCTATCCATTCATAAGATCATAAATCGCGCTTCGTCAAGACACGGCCCATAAGCTTATTGTTTATGTCAAAAACATGGCAGTAAAGCACATTCAATAAACAAATCAGCAGACGCAAAAGTAAATAAAGGTCTGCCCAAATTGTTACAAGGGGAGAAAGAAAGAAAAATTCTCTTAAATCGTTTCTCGGAACTATTGAAATTCCCAAATTGCTTTCGAGTTCTACGAATCTCACATACGAATGTATTTTGAAGTACAGTAGATACTGTTAAATAAAACATGCGACGCACTCCACCTTCTATGGAAATTTGTATGCTCGCAGTTTTTTATGTGTACGTAATTCTTTGAACAATTTAAGGAAATAAAATTATGACTTAAAACTCAAAAATCTGCAGGCAACTTTAACATGATTTAATTTTATGTCAATTAGCTGTCATTGTCAACTTACGATTATGCGCATGCAATTTCCTTTTTTTAATAGTCATGACAGAAAGAATGTTAAAAAGTTTTTATTTACAAATTTGTTTTCGGATATATTGCGACAATATTTCAATAGTCAGTTAGTCAAATATCACTTAACAGTGTTTTTTTAAATATTTTGTATAAGGCTCAAATTTTTAAATATTATGTCTATTATCCGACATTCACTGTACCATCATAAAATAGTGCAGCAACAGCTGAATTTAGATAAAGAAAATACCACCCAGACGGCAAATGGGCATCGCTGTTACTTCATTAATCTTATTATAACCTTACCCAAATTGGCCGCCAGATAAGAAAATAATTCCAACAGGAACTATAAAACTACAAAAAATATATGAACAACGCAAGGCGAACGAAATAGAAAATAGATTTATTTACTCAAGAGAAGAAATACCAGTGCGCGTGCAACTTCCACAAAAAGCAACGAACTGCACAAGCCGGTTTTCTTGTTTATTTCCTCCAATAATTATTGCAATATAAAAATCCAATGAGTAAATGAGACTATTTAAGGCCAAGTCAGCTGAAAATGGATACCTCGAAAAGCTTTCAACAATCGTTTTCAACATTCGGCTATTACGCACAAAACGTCAGCATATACAACTGAGACGACTAATTAAAAAGTAAGCAACAACAATAGCTGTGATACAACTACATACGTCCGAGTCTGATTCAAATAAGAAGCTTCGGATTTCAATTAGGTGGGACGCTGCGTCATCGAGCCCAATGATATTTTTGCGCAGCCCGTCGTAGCTGGATTAAATTAATTAACCCCGCATACCCGACCGCGTGACACATGCTCTAAATTACACAAAACCACACATATAACCAATTCACAGTAGAGCATTTATGTATAAGTAAAATGTCGATAGAACAATCAAATATTTTAGTTCGCTACCGACCGACATTCTATTCGCTTAACCATAGGCTTTCATTGCTTACAAAATAAATTAGGGAACAATTTTAGATAATACCAATAATACAAACGTTCTTCTATTCATTTGAATAATTAAACAAGAAATTAGAAAACAAATAAGAAAATTATTTGACTTGCGTTGTGCGGAGCGGAATGTAGAATTACGTTATTGCATGCCTGTATCGACTGCTGCAGTCGCTCTTCAATGGTTTTGACTTTACCTGTCCGCCGGACAAGGACACACCCTGACACACAAAACCTGACCCGGACTCACCCACAAAGGCCTTAAGCTCGTAGTCCACGCCGCAAGATTTGCCCACATCCCCGGGGGCAGGCTGCAGGGAAACGGAGGCGGGGCAGTAGGGCGGCACCTCGAAGTAAAATGGGTGGGCGTTGGGTCCCAGCTTTTTGATCAGCCGCTCCTGCAGCCGGGTCATCGGACGCTCCAACTGCATGGGCGGGTAGATTTGCTCATGCGCCAGATACAGGTCCTTGCGGAACGTTAGTCCCAGGACATCCAGGTCCTCACGTCCGTAACGAAAGGCGGCTAGGACCTGGCCAAACACCTTGCGTTCCTTTACGTACTCGGGATCGATAAATACGACGCCGTCAATGGGATCCACATGTGTGACATGGTCCACGAAGTCCCGCTTACCGAGGTAAACGGTGATCTTGCCGTTGGACGAGCTCTTCTTGAACACCCGCGTCGCTTGGCGCCGGGAGCTGGCATCCCCACCAGCCTCATCGCCAACCGCCCCGCCTCCAGTGCTCCCGGCAGCTGTCACATTTGTGCTGGATCCATTGCTACCGGGTGCTCCACCTCCTCCGTTCGTGCTCGCGCCCAGTGTGTTCATTGGCGGTTGTGTGCTGCTTCTGCTGATTCGGTGGTGTTCCTGCTTGTTGGTTTTCCGCACACACACCTCTCCTTATTTTTCGCACACGTCGCACTCCGTTTAGTAAATATATGTGTGCGTTGTGGGTGCTGTGCTGCAATTTAATTTTTTATGTGTATACTTATTCCGCCAATAACCAACACTGTCTATCAGCCACACACAGCCATGTTACCATTTCTGGTATTTTTAGTTATCTAGTATTTTTTGACGAGCGAATGCTCTCATTTTCCTACTGTAATTATTTTTAAGGGTTATTTAATTTCAAAGAAGATTTAAAAATAAAACAGTTTTTTATTGCAATATACACTAACATACATCCCTAAAAAATTGTTTTGCCAATACTTGTTGCACTCACCGTTTGCCGTTAATTCAAACTAGGGAGTTTTTTTTCTAATAGTTATAAAACCGTAACTAACTAACTCAAATTAAACAAGAGTTTAGGTTCCAAAACATTGTTAATTAAAGCAGGTAGGCGGAACAGCTGTTCAAAAAAAGAATACGATTTTTTCTCATTCCCTCTAAAGCTGGAATTACTCGTTACATTTTTAATAACAAGGCTATTCGACAGTTTAGGGAATACCCTTATTGATTGCTAAAAAAATCGGAACCTCTGTCTCCAGACAAATCGATTAATCGGCTTACTTCATTACTTTGTGCAGCTATACTGGTCACACTGTTCTGTCCCTCTCTTTCCACGTGCGTTTTAATCCAACCAAACACGCGTTGCTCCATCTGTACTTGATTTTGTTCAATTTGTGTCACCAACATTCGACAGACTGCTAAAAATGGCCCAAAAGAAAGCCATAGGCGCGAAAGGCAAGAAGGCCACCAACGGAGTGGAGAAGCAGGTGGTCAAGCGAGGGGCGAAGACGACGAAGATCCAGGAGGAGGAGAAGATTGTGGTCACTCAGTCACCTGCTAAGAAGTCCAGGAAGCAGCCGGTGAAGGAAGAGTCGCAGTCCAGCGAGGAGGAGTCCGACGCCGAGGAGCTGAGTGGCGACCAAGCTGAGGACGACAGCGAATCCGAGGTGGGTAGAAAAAAAAACGTGTTCTGCTCTCTGGCAGATACACATATTTAGACCTATCCCCATTACATCTTAATAACACTTTCCGAATTTTGAACCACATAGTTATGTACCTACTTTCGGCTGTTCTTTACCACTTTTTTGAGGTACAAAAAAAACGTTCATAAATAACAACACATTTCACATATCGGCAGACAATAGGTTACTACAGCTATAAGTTTAAATAAGCATTTTCGTTTAACTTAAGATTTAGTTAAAGGCTAAGGACTTTTTATTTCAGGCAGATGATTTGATCAACGACGAGGCTTTGGAAGATGAGGAGGACGATAGCGACGAGGAGGAGGTTGATGACGATGATGTGGAGCCCGGGGAGGTTTCCAAAAGCGAAGCCGCGGAGGAGGATGAAGAATCTGACGATGATGACGAGGCAACTGTTGAGGAACCAGTGGCCAAGAAGGTCAAGGAAACTAAAACAGCAGGAAAATCTACTTCTGAAAAAACAGAAGAAAAGGGCGGTATTCCGAAAGTACCAGCTGGCAAAATTCCCCAAGGAACGCCTGTTAATCAGACCATCTACGCCTCGAAGTTACCAAAAGGTAAAGTAACATTTTAGTACTCAATTCTAGCCAATGTATTTCAATTTTTTTTTAATGCTGCGCAGAATACAAACACAAAGATGTTGTCGCCCTTTTTGCCAAGTTCGGAACTATCTCCGGACTGCATCATATGAAGACTAAGTTCGGCGGCCACTCAGCCATCATTGCCTTTGACTCGCCAGCTGGCGCCGAAGCCGCTCTGCAGGCCAACCCGAAGGCGCTTACCCTTGGGGACAATGTTTTAGTTGTAAGCCAGGCAAGAACCAAGGAATCTTTAAATGAGCGCACGTTGATTGTTGGCCTGATTGGACCCAAAATCACCAAGGAGGACGTAAAGGAATATTTTGAGAAGGTTGCTCCCGTGGAGTCGGTCTCCTTCTCCGGAAACCGTAACCCCAACGCCTTTGTTCTTTTGGCGTCAGTTGATGACGTTCCCAAGGCCCTTAAACTGCACAGCACCGAGCTTTTCAATCGCTTTATTACGGTGCGAGAGTATTCGCCGAAGGTTAAAACGACGAGGAGCCCTGAAAATACTTTGGTCGTCGAAAATGTGGGCAAATATGAGTCTTTCAGCGCCAATGTCCTAGAGAAGCTATTCAAAAAATTCGGCGAACTAGATTATGTGGACGTGGTGTGCGGCACGTCGGTTTTAGCCTTTGTCACGTTCAAGCAGTCGGATGCAGCCACAAAGGCTCTGACCGAACTCCAGGGAAAGATTGTTAACAATGTGGAGCTGAAGCTTAAGCACTTCCAACTCAGTAACACGGCGAGGTCAATTTTGGTGACGAACTTGACTTCAGGTGGGTTACTTACTTTTGGCTTTTATTCAAAAGAAAGCATGCAAATTTACCGAATATGATTTATTTTACTTGTAGATACTACCGAAGAAGACTTGAGGGGTGTGTTTAACGAGAGCGGCGAAATCGAGAGAATCACTTTGTTGCCTCACAAGGCTTTTGTGAAGTTCACAGACGATGACGGTTTCTGCAAGTCTTTTTTGGCCAACGAAACCATCGTAAACAACCAACCCATTTTCATAGAACCTAACTCGAAGCTGAAACACAAATTAATACAAAGTCGTGCCGGTAACCGATCCGCAAGCAAATTCCCGAAGAACAAAAACTTCGGCAAGAAGCCCTTTAACAAACGTCCGGCACAGGAAAATGTTGGCAACCCCTTTGTAAAGAGGGCAAAGTTCTAAAGCTTGGAAACCTAAAATGGTTTAGTCTTAAGTTGTGCAGTACCATAAATACGACCACAATCCATTTCATTGCTGCCTGATTAAATGGATATAGTCGATAAGAAATACCCGTACAAGTTGTACTGGTCTATATTAGCCGTATTTCAAACCAATGTTGGCTTGTATAAGAAACGATCCTAAAACTAAATAAAAGAGCACAAAAAATTTAACAGCGTTTAAATTTTTTAGCAACATTTTATTGAACCTTTTTTATTGAGTAAATTAGTCCTACTAACCCGGTAAAAATTAGTCTAGTCGGCAAACATTTTCTTAAAATAAATGGTGCTTTAATAGTTATATTTACCGTTCTGGGTCTGATTGTTATTAGCGGTGGGAGTAAAAATATATAATTTATTACAAAAAAAGATATGGCACAATTGTAAATTGCTTAACTTGGTGTAAGTTACCAGCACCTCCTCACTTGTATGTGAGGGAATTCAAGTTCTTAGGGGTGCTTGTACCGTCAGACCCCTCCCCCTCGCAGATGATTTATTACATATATCGTAGCAAGCGATGTGCCTGTCGAGTGATTCATTCAGCTACTACGGCGACTCTACACGCAAACATTTTATTTCTCCAGTACGGCACTCCCATTCCACCTCAACCTCCCAAGGCCTCTTAGCTCCTTCAGCTGGCTAGCCACTCGCCAGTTGGGTCTTTTTTCACGCAATCTTGGCCATAATGCAAATGAATAAAGGCGAATTGGGGACTGCATTACTAAAATAAGGACTTGGCTGAGTCACCGGTCATAATGAACCCAATTCATAAAGCCCTCAGACGACGGTTCTTACTGTCAGTAGCTTTAATGACTCTGCCTAGAGGTGTTTAGGGCTGAACTTATACTACTGCTCGACTGGTTATAACCGTCTTCAAAGCAAATTAAACTCAACTAAGGTACACGTTTGATTTATCAAGGAGAAAAACTTTTAGTAAACTATACAAAGAATCAGAAATGCAGGGACTTTTACTATTTTTGTATTTAAATACATAAGAAATAAATCTCCCCAATGCAAGGCAGTCAAGCTATAAAATTTTGCAATGTAATTGATTTGTATATTTAACATTTATTGGTAATACATTAATTTGTTGTATTTTTTTGTTGTTCTTGATGTTCACTACATGCTCACAAATATGATCTTGTTGTCTGATGTATATATGTATGTTATAGATAAATGTTTATCGGTTTATATAAGTAGTTATTTTTCTTGTAGTCGTCATTTATGTTAGTACTGTCCGTTTTTACTCACAGTATGTGTTATTTTTTAAGACTTTTTCATGAACTTATGAAATGTATATATATGCGTAAAACAGAAAGGTTCCTTTGACTAAATGCAACGGAAATTAAGTATAAGCCAACCGAGAGGAAGCAGAGCCCCTGATTTATCCACAGTCCCAAGGCAATGTTGGTTATGAACCACCTAATCAGTCTGTTTATGAAGTTAATTATAATGATTGGAATGGAGTTGGGTATGATACTCATTCAAGCCAAACATACAATGCATTGAAGTTTTTTTTTTTCCTCGGGTGGATTTCAGAGGCATTCGACTGCTTTTTTTGTTGGCTATATCTAAGTCTCTGTGTCTCTAATTTTTCAATAGATATAATATATTTATCATAATATAGCTTAGTTATAAAATCACTAAAAATAAGGCAAATTAAAGTGAAGGGCACTAGACGGGATTTGGGCAAAGTCAAAATGCAAATCATTTAACTGTCTAAAACGGACAACTAGATCAATATGTACCCTTTTAACGGTTGGGTTTATGTGATGTAAATTTAATTTATAGGCATTATTGCAACCCTCGCAACTTAGTCTCTAAAATTATCCATTCAACGTTTACTTTGACAAAAGCAGGCAAAATTGGTTTCTCGTACAATAAATTCGAGTCGTTGACGCTTCAGTATCATTCATTTTTCATAAATATATCGTTTATAATTCAATATAAAATCTAAAAAAAATAAAATTAACCAAAAATAAAACAATCTAAAAGTATTTTTTTGCTCGTTTTGTTTTACTTGGTAATATCGTTAACATACATTATATGTAATACATAAATATAAAGAAAGTGTATATAGGGGTGTTGTTACGTTCAATGTTATGCTAATTGTTTTTGTTGTTCTGAATTCCGTGTGCAACAACAAACAAAATTATAAAATAATAATACATGTTGACCTTGTTCACAAAAAGTAGGAGCAAAATAGATTTTAAGATGTGGTTAAAAATGAAACTTTCCGTTTTTAAATTTAATTAAAATATAACACTGGGTAAGTATTCTTCCTCGTTTGGTTCTTCTCAATTTCCACGATTTTTCATTTTCAGTTATGGAGGAACGTTTACAACACAAACAGTATTCTTGAGTCTTGCGTCTGTAAGAATGTTGAAAATTAAGATTCTTGTTAGTTTTATTCCTGGTTATCTACGGTTTCAGCTGCGCAAAATAAGTTATTTTTTGTTGAATTATTTTTGATTCTTTTTTGTTTTGTTTTTTGTTACATACGTGACCGGATACAGACTAAAAGCTACAGTTAATCTTGTATTATCGTTTGTTTTCTGATTTTTGCGACACAAAAATGTTTAAATATATTTTATTAATTATTTTCAATTTTTTTCTTTTTACCTTAGTCTTTAATTATTCCATTTGTTCTTTGAAATGATAATTGTTAAATTTTGACGCAGCTGCGCTGGTTTTGCCGAAGGGCTGGCGCAAATAACAGAACGGTAATAAATAAAACATCTTAGTTCTTAAACAAAACGGAGCACACAATAAAGTTTATGATTTGTTTCCTTGACAAAATAGCACAAAAATTGTTTAAGCTCTGGGTCCACTTAATAAAAAATACAAACATTGATTTTTGAAAGTAATAGGAAATGTAACCGACTATAAATTAATTCAATGGGAAGTAGTTCATAATTTAATTAGTAGTACGTTTTAAATTTTATCATGGTGCTGCATTCAATGTTTCTTCTTTCATTTGATCGTAACTTTTTTAAGGATTTTTCTGTTCTCGCTAATTACTTTTGCCTTATATGTTGTTTAATATTTAGTAAAGTAGTTTCAGCTTTATGGTTTGGAGCCTGGGATGTGCTCTAAAAGTTTAGGGAAGACACTTCTGCGTTTTCGGGGTAGACAACATGTCCCTGATCCGGTTGATCTTGAATAGGCTGCTGGGTTTCCTCAACAACGTGTAAGCCATTTCCATTATGCTTGATGGCTTCCTCTGCATTGATCCCGCCATTGGTGTTTGAAGTAATTTCAGCTGATGCTCCTTTTGCTGCCCGGATTGGAGTGGCTCCCTTAAGGGGTGTAGTCCTACGAGTTTTTAATTCAGCTGGCGATGCCTTAGTGGTTGGGCCTTCTTTGGGTTTTGGTGTCAGCGTCTTGACAGTAGTTTTGGCTGGCGACGCCTTTAGAGGCGAAGACTTCCTTAAAGTAGAAGCCGATGTCGCGGTGGAGCTACTAGGAATCAGCAGCCGTCGAATTGTGCTCCCATTGCCAGTGGTTGAGTTGGCCGAGTGGGTGAACTTTGGAGCTGGGCGAGCTGTAAAAGTTTTTGTGGTCGTTGTTGTTGTAGTAGTGGTAGTGGAGCTGGTGCTCCTGCCCAAATTATTGGTTGTCGGCTTGGCAGGACTGCGAGCTGATGGAGAAGTGGCGTTTGTGCTTGGAACCTTGCGTACAGAGGTGCTGGTGTTAGGGATGCTGCGTGGCGACAAAGCATTGGTCTTGACTGGGGCTGTAGTAGTGACTGCCAAACGAGGTTTGGCTGAAGCAGATCCTGCCCCTGACGAACTTGTAACTGGTCTGCGAGCTGCTGCGTTGACTCCAGTCGCCGGTCCTGATCCGATTGTGGCTGGCTTGCGAGCTAAAGTGCTGGACAAAGGGCGAGCTGTTGTCCGAGCTCCGCTCTCCGGTCCAGTTGCTGGTGCACTTTTATTTGCAGTTGATTTGCTGGCTGTAGTCTTAGTTCCCAATGCCGCCTTGCTTACAGGTGCTGTGGCTGGTCGTGTGCTAATTAAATTAGATGCTGCATTGCTGCTTAATGGTTTTCGGGTGGTTGCTGTTAGTGGAGCTGTATTCGAAGTTTTGGTGGATTTGAAAGATATACTTGTAGTTTTGGATGCAACGGGGGCGGTGCGTGGACGAGCAGCGACCGGCTTGGTTGCTTCGGCAACAGAAGTCTTAACAGAGCTTGTTGTGGTCTTCTTGATTGCATTGGGAGCAGCTGCTGGTTTAGCTTTAGCAGCGGGTTTGATTGCAGCAGCAACTGCAGTAGCTGCCGCATCAACATTCGCTATTTTAGCAGAAGATGCCGCTATATTCTCTTCCTTCTTTGTTTCTAAAACGGCTTCCACCAATGACTCTCTCATAGAAAGCAGAGCATTTTCAATCTGGGAATTATTCGGTTTCTCTACAGCATCAGGCAGCTTCGGCACCTCTGACCCAACAGGTAGCTCTTGTTCCTCGGAAGCAGCAATCTGCTCTTCTGTTGGAATATGTTTTTCAACAAATATCGGTTTTATAGCGGGTAGCTCTTCTTTCTGAGGAACGGAGTCTCCCACGGCCGGCAGCAGTTGCTCCTCTGGAGGCAAAATCTGTTTCTCCTCGGACACGAAATTTCCATAAATCGGTAGCTCCTTTTGCTCCGCACTCTTACTACCATCCTTAGCATCCAAATCGAAGCTAATATATGCCGGAATCGGTGGTTCTGGACAGATTAGTTCGTCCTCTAACGACGTTTTCGCCAAAGTAATATCTAGGAGCGGTGCAAATGTTTCGTCATCGTTAGGCTTCAGAATGGGTTCGTGTGGCTCGGCTGTCTGCGAAATATAATATTTGTGTGGGATGAAAGACTGCTAATAGGATAACATAATGATGCAATGCTTAGGAATAATTAAAATCTTAATACTATTAGAAAGCAAATTCCTGGGTTAACACGCACACACACATTACAAATGCAAACAAATAACATTAATGACAGCACACAATAAAGGCGTAACGAGAATTTTAAGCAAACTTAGACCAAGATTGCATTTTCATGGATTTGTTTAAGTCAAAAATGTCTTCATTAATTTTTTTAAGATATGAATTTTTAAACTGAATTGTTAGGAAATCATACCGACACGACTAGATTTCCTCTACACGTAACGGAAATAACAGTCACAACAAAAGTGGAAATAAGGAATGGAACAACAAGCGTATTGGCAGAAAAGTTTTTAGTGACTTAGTATAGTGACTTGGCGTTTGGTGTCGGTGAAATGTGAGGAAGGAAAGGCGGGCAGGGTCGGAAAGTGAGTGTAGCGTTACATTTTTTTACGGAACTTTTCCTCTATCACGCAAAGACCAACTCGCAGCACAAAAAACAATGTGCTCTGAAACTCTAAAATGTCATTGACCAGTAAATGCCACTAGCCGGGGCCATTAGCCGTCTGTTGGTGCCCGTTCTCAGTTCCACTCTCCCAGTTTCGCCTATAATTTCTCAATTTTTTGTTGCTCGTTTCCCACTTGTAGCCCACTTGGCTGACCAGCTGACTTTCTTTACTACACTTTGGGAAAAAATCTTTTTTTTTTTTAAAGCTTACTATTTTTATACCCGTTTCTCGTAAAAACCTTATACCCTTTTTTTATATTGTATGTAACAGGTAGAAAGAAGCGTTTCCGACCATATAAAGTATATATTTTCTCGATCAGAATCAACAGCCATGTCAATCTAGCCATGTCCGTCTGTAGTATTCTAGTAGTTCCTACGCAGCGCAAGTTTATTTAAAATCGGAGCCACGCCCACTCTAGCGCCCAGAAATCGTAAAAGTTTGTACTGTATGTGAAAATATGTAGAGTGACCTGTTAGCGGGAGGTAAGGGTGTTGCACGCACTTTGGATGGCACCACCTTAACTTCAATTGTTTTGTAGGGGGAATACTTAGTTTGATTGTTGACTGAGTAACGGGTATCTAATAGTCGACTCGACTCGACTTTAGCGCTCTTTCTTGTTTTTGTTTGTTTTCGCTTTACCTATGGTTGTTTGTTTTTAATTCATTTAATTAAAAGTAAATAAACAAAAAAATGTCGATCCGGATTTTTTGTAATTACCATCTTAATATATATATGCATATTATATGTTTTTGCGTCATTTTTAAGCCAACAAAACTTCATTTGCTGTCGAAAAAAGTCAACGTCCCCAAACTAAGTAATTGTTTGCATCTGTACAAAATTCCTAACTTAATACCCACTAGGATTAAGAGCTCTAACATACCAAACAGCTCCAAAAATAAAATTTCGGTTTTTTTAAGTTTTTTGTTTTGCTGTTTTATAATACAATGATTTTCATACCCTTGCAGAGGGTATTATAATTTCAGTCAGAAGTTTGCAACGCAGTGAAGGAGACGTTTCCGACCCTATAAAGTATATATATTCTTGATCAGCATCACTAGTAGAGTCGATCTAGCCATGTCCGTCTGTCCGTCCGTCTGTCCGTCCGTCTGTCCGTCTGTCCGTCCGTTTATATGCAAACTAGTCTCTCAGTTTTAAAGCTATCTGCATGAAACTTTCCCAAAAGTTGTCTTTCTATTGCAGGTAGTATATAAGTCGGAACGAGCCGGATCGGACGACTATAGCATATAGCTCCCATAGGTACAATCGGAAAAATAATTGAAAAAAAATTATAACTTTGCTGTTTTTTAATTTTTTGTTTAGTTCTTCGACATAAAGCAATGGTTAAATAATTCAGAATTATGGTTTAAATTTAATCAAAATCGGACGACTATAGCATATAGCTCCCATAGGAACAATCGGAAAAATAATTGAAAAAAATTATAACTTTGCTGTTTTTTAATTTTTTGTTTTGTTCTTCGACATAAAGCAATGGTTAAATATTTCAGAATTATGGTTTAAGTTTCATCAAAATCGGACGACTATATCATATAGCTCCCATACAAATAATAAAAATATATAAAAGAACAATCAAATAATTAAGCTGCAAATCGTCATAGCTTCAATGTTTTTAAACATATACGCAAGTAAATCATAATTTTAATGTTTTCAAAAATATTTAATTCTTGCGATAGCTGCAAGGGTATATGAACTTCGGCTTGCCGAAGTTTGCTTTCTTTCTTGTTAATAAATAAAGCGAAATAATTTGCAATACAGAACAAATTTTGATCAAAAGATTTTGCGATTAAGATTTTTCTTGCAAGCAAAGCCCTCTATTCTCGGTTGATGAATTATTTTTACAAATCAAGTCGTACCACCAAGTCGCGATAAATATGCACAAAATTTTTCGTAGTTATCAGCCATATCATAAGAAAATATCTTCTTAATCAAGATAGGCTTAATAGTGTTTTTTTAAAAAATCAAATTTGTGACCTATTGATATTACGGATAAGATATACTAATACTATACAACTATATTTTGTCTGGGATTAACTCAGCTGTAATTTCCCCTAGTGTAGCATTTTTTGTTTGGCCTACGGACTCTCGACTTGGACTGTTGCTCAAGCGTAATGGGGTTAAAAGTGAGCTGAAACGAATAAGACCAAAAAAACATAATGCACAAAAACTAAGCTTGGTCGGTTGGGAGCTCTTTGCTAGGTTGAAGTATATTTCAGTTACTGACCGTGACTCATTGCCTGGCGAAAGCAAGTATGCGAATCAATTATGTCCGAAAATGAGGTAATTTGAAGTTAAAAATATCCCATAGGTAACAAGAAATTTGTATAAATGTTGTATAAACCTTAATAACAGCGATTATTGTTTGGAATTTTATCAGTGATAAACTTATGTTGGTACTCAGAGTAAAAAAGCCGGCTGGTGTATATTATTGCTTAACACTTGTGATTGTTTTGTTTATCTCCGAAAAAATAATGTCAGCACACACAAGCGCTCATATGTGCGTGTCCGAATGAATATGAATAGAAATCTATTTAGCAGCTTGATATTTCAATGTCCGCTTCTACCGCTGTATTTACAAAACATTTTGGCACTCGAAGAAACCGGCAAATAAAAGTTTAACAATGAGTCACGCAATTATTGTTTTGCTCACCAGCTTGAAGTTGTGTGTGGTGTATGAGAGTGTGTTCCTCCTAAAAAGCAACAAACATAACGCAACGATGACATCAACAATTCCATTTGACGGTCACAGCCCATGCCAATTTTTAGGTTTGTTAATTGCAAAAAGTGAGCAGCAAATAAAGAAATTGTACGAAAGGTTCCGTCAACTTTTTAATAGCAACAACAGTAGTGGGCAGTTAGGTAGGCAGGATGGAATGAGAGCAGATTTATTGTTGAAATCAAAAATTAAACATGATATACATAATTAAATATCAATTATTCTATCGTTCCTTTAGCAGCTAGTGGACAAGGTTGTTCGATTTGAATAAAATCAAAAGTTTAATTTTGAATTATTAAACCATTAGAGGGAGACATTTCCGACCCTATAAAGTATATTTATTCTTGATCAGCATCACAAGGAGAGTCGAACTAGCCGTGTCCGTCCGTCCGTCTATTCGTCCGTCCGTTTCTACGCAACTAGTCTCTCAGTTTTTATGCTATAGGAAGTAGCCTTCCTATTGCATGTAGTATATAAGACGGAACGAAATAATAAATATATAGCATACAGCTCCCATAGGAACAACCGGAAAAATATATGAACAAAATTATAACTTTGCTGTTTTTTTATTTGTTTGTTCTTTGAGATATAGTATTAGTTTTATATTTTAGAATTACGGATTAAATTTCATTTGAATCGGCCGACTATAACATATAGGGAACAATCGGAATATACAAATAAATAAATGTAAAATAAAATATAACTTTTTTTTAAATTTTTTGAACATAGTAATGGTTTCATATTTCAGAATTACAATTTCGATTGTATTAAAATCGGAAAACTATTTCGTCATAGCTTTTCAATAGCTGCAAGGGTATATAACTTCCGAAGTTTACTTCCTTTCTTGTTTTTATTTATTTATTTTTTTAATATATTGATTGTTGCTATGGGAGCTATATGATATAGTCGTCCAATTTGTATTAAATCAAACAAAAATACCTCTTGACGAGGTAACGTGACGATCGCACCTTCGACTCCAAAAAATATAACTTTTTTTAAATTTTTTGAACATAGTAATGGTTTCATATTTCAGAATTACAATTTCGATTGTATTAAAATCGGAAAACTATTTCGTCATAGCTTTTCAATAGCTGCAAGGGTATATAACTTCCGAAGTTTACTTCCTTTCTTGTTTTTATTTATTTATTTTTTTAATATATTGATTGTTGCTATGGGAGCTATATGATATAGTCGTCCAATTTGTATTAAATCAAACAAAAATACCTCTTGACGAGGTAACGTGACGATCGCACCTTCGACTCCAAAAACTTCTGATATCAAATTTTGGGATGGCTTTTTCTTATTTTACCAAAAAAAATGACTTTTTTTATTAAACTCGTTTTTTAATCGGCTCTCTGCTTTCAAATTGTTAATAACTGCTGATCAAGAACTTTATTCGGTCGGAAATGACTCTTTTACTGCGTTTCAAACTTCTGACTGAAATTATAACACCCTCTGCAAGGGTATAAAAACAAACTTACTCACAACAAGAAAAAATATATGGAGTCCCAACTTAAGAAGCAGGCCACTGTAAAACATTACGTTCGCATCCAAAGAACACATTTATCTATACAATTAATAATTATTATTAATCTAGTCTATTACATAAATTTACAATTTTACCGTTAAACAAAACAAAGAATGGAATTGGTAGAAGTTTCTAGGAGCAAGGTTTAACTGTATAACAAACCAATTAGTATTAAGACTCTGTCACCTT